GGACTGGACAGCCCTGTTCTAGACACACTGACCCTCCAGGACTGGACTGGACAGCCCTGTTCTGGACACACTGACCCTCCAGGACTGGACAGCCCTGTTTTAGACTCACAGGTTACAGGCAGCTCTACAGCAGTAGAAATACCAGGTGAGGGGTCAGATGTTGGCCGGGGCCGCAGTAGAGCTGGTCACTCTGACAGGAAACAGGTTCACAAAGACTCATGGGACAGCAGATTGGTTTATTTTATTAAAGAACGACAGATCTCCAATCCCAAACTCCGAGCCCTCACACACACCTTCAGAAAGAACCCAAACCAAACTGATAAATCGAGAACCCAGACAACACAGGGGGGTCAGGTCAGGTCACAGCGAGAAGATCATCCTGATCTCCCCCACCCCCCTCTGACAGGAGACCCTTCTTTACGCAGAGGGTGGTGGGAGTGTGGAACCAGCCGCACTGCTGAAGCTTGTCAGGAAACGCTCGGTAGAGATCCTGGGATCAATGAGCTACTGACTTCCATCCTGGGCCAGATGTGCCGGAAGACCTCTCTGGTCCGGGGCCTGTCTGATGTCACTGGGTCAGGGGGTCACCCCATCCCGCAGAACCCCGAATGAGCAGGAGCGATTATGTGTAAGGTCTCCGCACAGTTTATCTGCAGTTTATCTCCTGTGTCCTGGGAGACAGGAGAGCTGGTCAGGGCAGGTGTGCACCCGCTCGGCATCACCAGCAGGGGGCGTTCTGCTCCTGTGATTCCTCTCCGGTCTCCCCCACAAGCTGCTGGAGTCTCGCCAGGCGTCACCTTCCTCCTCCTCTCCCTTGGCCCCCTTCACTGCCCCTCGGCCAGCCGCTTCTGCGGGGAGAGACAGGGAGGAGACTGGTGAATCTGGGCTCTGTCCACAATCCGACAGTGGGACCAGCAAGACCAGTCTGATCCGCTCTGTGACTGACTGTCAATTAGGGAGGAAAGAAATATGGTTCTTGCAGTGACAGCTCTGAAGAGTACCTGCCTGACTACAACACCACACCTGAGAGCTCTCTCTCTGCTGAACTCACCAGGATCTCCTCCAGCTCATCAACATCAGCCTTGTCCTGCAAAACCCTGAAAAACAAAACAGAAGGACAGTGAACGATCCTTCCTGACTGCAGGTCACAGCCCGGTCAGACTTGACTGCACCAACCAGACTCCCAGTGCGCAGCAGTCTGATCCGTTCCAGGTGTGACAGTGCTGTCAGTCAGACTCCCAGTGCGCAGCAGTCTGATCCGCTCCAGGTGTGACAGTGCTGTCAGTCAGACTCCCAGTGCGCAGCAGTCTGATCCGCTCCAGGTGTGACAGTGCTGTCAGTCAGACTCCCAGTGC